CCGAAGCATTCAGCCTAACAGCCCTGGGGAGCGGTATTGCCACTTCATTAATTAGTTCGTGGAGCATCCCTTTGGGCTAGTATAGCAAGATTATCCTTATTTTTATAGATCAAGAAAATGAGGTGTGAGGCATTGAATTGGCAATCAGTCCTGGAGTTCAAAATTTTAGACCTTTAGACAGTTACTCAGTTTATAGATCTTGATCTTATTGTTCCACATATATATGTTCAAAGCAACAATTTTAGTTTCATTGAGTTTTTTTTTTTATAACAAACAGATTCGTATATTTGAGTCATGTAGGTTTTAACTTGAATTTAACCCAGCTGTGATATTGTCCTACTAGCTGCATGTGAAATTTGTGAACTTGAGTTAAATTACATACTTACATTTATCAGGTTCTTGTGAAGCATTGTTTGTTTTATATGGCCATCTGTGACATAAACAGTCTAAATAAGATACCAGAGACTGAATGATATATTGGAAAGCACATTTAATTAGTATCCATAGACGTGCACTAGAGTCCTGGCTCACCCCATTCTAGCAGAGTAAACATGCTTAAGTCACTTCTGCCACCTTTGACTTTGGAAAAATTTCCAAAAAAAAAAAAAAAAATGTTAGCCAAATACTTAGTCAGTTTATCTATCTACCTACCTACCTATCAATTTCTACTCAGGGAATGACTCCTCTCTCTGGTTCACCAGGCTAGCCTACCTCTCAATATCCAGATAAACTGGGTTTTACAAGATGGTGTTGAACCGAGTGCAGTCAAGACAAGAGGTGAGCTATAAGCGTGTCCTGCTTTTGTTTGGTGGTGGTTCCCTCACCAACCGACAAAGCCAACCAGGAGTATTAGCTCTGCTGGGTCCAAAATGAAAGTTTGAGTTTTGCATTGATACCTTTTCATTTGATTTGGTTCCACAGTCACAGATTACAAAACTAATGCTGGTCAGATTGCTCACCAGTGAGAGCGGTTCCTGGTGCACAGGGGTCTGAGTGGGAGTACCTCATACTCCATCCCTGTGTCCAGCCCTCTGTATTGAGGTGTATTGATACTTAACATTATTCTCATATTTCAAATACTATTTGTTTTCAAAGGGCAAGGGAAAGCATATGGGCTACTAAGAAAATTCACAAATTTTAAAAACACCTTCTAATTTATTATTATGTTTCCCAATATCTAAAGCTATAATGTCTCTAAATTAGCATCACACGACCAACATGTCATCCCTGATAGGGGCTCTGGAAAAGCTCTTCTTATGTGCAGTTGATTTGGCTTAAGTTTTTTTGTGTGTGTGATTTAAGTTATTGTTTAAAACACCAATTAGAAAAATGCATTTTAAATGAAAATTGTAATTTTTTCTGAAAAGTTCTAATTGTTTTATACAATGGTCTTACATGTTTTTTTAAATTCAGATATATTACTTGAATTATTCAGGTTATTTTATTAGTATATCTGAAAACAGACTAATTTATTATTTTAACTATAATGACTCTTAATATATATTTAAGATCAATCTTCAGTTCAGCTGGTTAGTCATGAACATTTGGGGAATATTTTTGTCATGATGAATGAGGAAAACAGCTTATTCAAGACAGATGGTTTGATTTAATTCAAGCAACAATGTATAGACTCAGAATAAAGTTATGTAATTATTTAAAAAATCATGTGTATTTATGAATTTCTGTATAATTATAGACATGTATGTTCTAAAGAAAAATGGCATATTTTAACCAACTCAACAAGAGTTTTCAAGTTATTTGTTTATATAACTTATTCACCTTCACCTTTAATCCAATAATCCAATAAGGTATTAAACAATCAAGGTCAGTAGGCAAGATATTTGAAAAATAACTACTAAGTATGAAGTTGTGTTCAGTACATTATTAGTTAATATTGAGAGTAACTAAAAAGTAACAGTAGGGACAAGAAATTAAAAACCAAATAAATAAAATGTACAATATGTCAGCTGATGATAAGAGCTATGGAAAAAAAAAATAGGCCAGGAAAGGGCAACAGAGAAGTAGGGATGTGGCAGCAGCTTTAAGTCGCGTGGTCAGGGAGGCAGTGTAGCTGTGTTTAAGAGGTGGGAGGATTTCAAGAGGAAGACACTGTTAGCACAGGCACAGCACCAGAAAGGCCCGTCCTTCACACAGGCCAGGACTCATTTGCAGTTATATATGCTAAGCTTTAAGAGTAAGCAAGTCTGCTGGGAGAGGGATTTGTAGTCATCCAAGGACATTGTAAACCACAACCCTGGTCTCAAAACTGCGTTCCTGGTAAATCGAATCTATTTTCTTGTGCTATAGTGTATGTACCAAATAAATCAAGGGACTCTTGGGATTGATCAGGAACAAGCTTGCAGTAAATTCCATTAAACTAAAAAAAATTGCTTATCCTTTATTTCAGCAAATGCTCAATTCTGATAATTTATTCTACAGATATACTTAGATATTTATGCAAATAAATATTTACAAGGAAATCTATTGTGGCATTATTTGCAATAGCAGAAGTTTAGAAACTATGGAAAGGATCATCATTAAGGGACAGGTTAATTAAACATGTTCATAGAGTGGAATATACACAGCTGTGATAAAGAATGAAGGAACCCTTGCTGTAACTACCAGTATGGAACAATTTCCATGATAAATTGTTAAATGAGAAAAGCAAGGTGCAGAAGAATGGGTATAGCAGATTATCGTTTGTGTTTAAAAATTATGTGTATATAATATCTACATAAGATAATATGCACATGTATGCATTGACTGTGAATGAATATTGCTAACTCTGGTTGAAACTTAGTGGTTGGGAACAGGAGTGGGAAGGACCCTTCGTTTTCACTGTATGCCCCATTTTGCCACTTGAATTTTGTTCAGGTGCATATGTTATCTGTTAAATATTTTTTTAAAAACATCACTGTAAATATTAGTTTAAGACCAAGAATCTCTGGGTTTAAAATGTAAAAAAATTATTATGATAGAATTAAAATTTTTATTCTAAATTAAGGTATCTTTTAATTAAATTTCAATAAATGTTTATTGTGCAACTAGCAGGCATTGCCAAGCACTGTTTTAGGCACTGGAGAGTCAGGAAGAATTCATACTCCTTGTTCTTCTCAAAATGGCGTAATTTGACAGGATAGAGTCCCATAAATTATTTAGGGTTAATATTTGATCTCTAAAATAACTACCAAAGTGCATAGTGAATAGTTAGAGATTCATAGATATGGGTTCACTAAAAACAGTGCTACTTATTATGTGTGATTTTAGGCAAATTAATTAATTAAGCTCCAGTTTCATTTGTAAAATGAAGTTAAGCAATAATACTTCAGGGCATTGTTTTGATGATTAAATGATATATAACGCATGTAAATTATTTAGTACAGGGCTTGCCATTAAACACAGTGCAATAAATGTTGACTATTTTTATTAATCAGTTCCCTTTGCTTATAAGTTTCCCTTTCAAATCAGAAAGAAAACAACTCCTAAAATCAAAAGTGCTATCATCAATACTATAGGAGCAGTAGCAATTTGAGACAGAAGGTGAAAGAAGGATGAGCAGGAAGGACTGGTGATAACTGAGCTGAGCCTTGATTAGCAAATGGAATTTCAGCAGGTGGAGAACTGGGGAGGGCATTTTAGCAGAGGGACAAGATGAGCAAAGGCTTCTAAGTGGATGCAGGGTGTGTTTTGGGAGTGGAGGGGAGTAGGCTAGTTAGACTAAAGGCACAACTAGAGTCCTGTGTGGAGGGAGTATTGCTGGGAGATGAGGGAACCGAGTAAGCAGTGGTTGGTCATGGAGGTTCTGGTAGGCCATGCTTAAGAGTTGGGCTTTATCTTTCAGTGGTGGGGGTGGAAACCAGATAGCAGAAGACTTAAGAGACGGCAGGGTGGAAGGAAGTAGGAATATGAATGTTGAAGAGGAGAGATGGGGACAGGATAGTGCTTGAGAGGCCTAAAGGGTCAAGGGAGAAATTGAAGACACCAGATAGAGAGTCCTAGATGATTAATGGAACAAGTAGAGGCAGCAGGGGACAAAATTAAGATGGGAGGTTAGGTTAGCTTTGTAAAGGGGTAAGGATCCTTCTGAGACAGGCAGCTGAGGAGGAAAGTGGTAAAGATGTAGATGAGGTGGGTTGTGGAGGGAAGAGAGGTCGAAGGGCTTCATGCCTCTTGGCTTCTATTTTCTTGAAGTTTGAAAGGAAATGATCTCCTGAGGGTGAGTGTGCCTGGAGTGGGATTTTAGAATTTAGGATAAGAGGTAGGGATTTGGCCCGTCCACTGCAGGAAGAGTAAGAAATAGTTGACTTGGGAGGAGGGGAGGGCTGGCTGATGCCAAAGCCCTGTCTCAGGCACAGGCGCCCCGTGCGGCCATGTGACTCTCACTAACAGCAGCCTGGAGCCTGGAAGCAAAAGGAGAGGGAGAGATGACCAGACCCATCCAGAGGCAAGGAGTTCGGGAATCAAGGGTGTTGGTAAGAGTGCAGCTGATGGATAGGGGAAAAAGTGAAGTCGAGAAAAAGTCGAGGGAGTCAGTCTTAAGAGAATAGGATGGGGTGAAGGGCCCAGTGGGGGCCTAGATTCAGAGAGCAAGCGAAATAAGAGTGGGCGAGGAGAGATGATAAAACATGGTATGTTGTGGCTGGAGGGGGAGGGCACTTCAGAGTTCAAGATTTTATAGGATTATTTTATTTTTGTTTTACAGAAATCATTGTTTTAAAAAAATTGCCTTAAAATTCTCATAATAGCTCAACAATTTCTGTTGTTGGCACAGATCATGAGCAGTATGCCCAGGGCTTAAGGGAGATTTTTTTTGAGAGCTTTGTTAGGGCCACATAATATCCATAGAGGATGAGCCCAGAGTATTTATGTTAAGTGGAAAAAAGCAAAGATTTAACAAAAGCACAACAGGTCTCAGCCAGTTCCCTGGAAACCTATAGTTTTTCCTCGTAGACAAAAACAAAACTAACATAGCTCAGTAATTTATTTCTTTGATTTTAAAGGTAAAACCAGTAATCCACAGCAGGATCAATGTGTCAGCTCGCTTTAGAAAACCACTCCAGGAACCCTGCACTATCTTGTAAGTTTTGAGCCCTTTACATTTCGAGTTGAAATTGGCTTGGTGGTTTTCTTTGGGTTTGGGATTTGTTTTGTAGTTTTAAAGGCATACCTATTTCAAATGGTTGGGCTCACTGGCTTTGCTTTTTTCCCAGCTTGATTGCAAATGGAGACCTTGTCAGCCCAGCTTCTCGCCTCCTCATCCCTAGAAAAGCCTTGAATCAGTGGGATCGTGTACTACAGATGGTCACAGAAAAAATAACTCTGAGGAGTGGGGCTGTCCACAGGTATGTCAAAGTAATCTTCTTGTAAGTGGATGGGTTTTAGAACTGTTGAGGATATTCCCAAGGGTCTCTGGAGTCAGTGGTCCCTCGATTTGAATTCTGGCTCACCAGTTAGGCTCCATATGCCTCAGTTTCTTTATCTCTAATGTGGATATATAGTAGTACTTACCCCCTAGAGTTGGTATAGGAATGCGGTAATCCACATAAAGAGCTTCAACAGTCCTGGGCACATAGTAGCACATCAACAAATATTAACTGTTTTTATTCTTTTGGTTTAGAGCAAATAGGTGAGCATCAACATTGTTTTAGATGAGAAGCACTTTTTTGAGTGAGTCAGCTCCTTGGCTTTTAATTCACTGTCCTGTCAGGAGATATTTATGATTATTTGGCATTCCAAACTATTTGTCCAGGGTAAAAAGTCAGACATCAGGAGGTGTTACTAGTTTTAAGAAGGAGGCAGAGTAGAGAGGATAATTAAGTGAGGTTGCCTAAATTGAGAAATCGAAAGCATTTTTCTCAAGTTCTGAAATTTAAGTGAAGATTAAAATCGTGGCTTTTAAGTTGTGAAGCCTATGAAATTATGCCTTGATGGAGGCTGACTTATTTATCTTTTTTAGGTGGGAGGGTTACAAATATATATTCAAGTATAGAGCATATTAAGAATATATATAATATGTGACATTCAAATATTTGAAATCTATCAAGAGTTTTCCCATAGTTCTCCTTGAATCCTGTCTTCACCCCAGTCTCTCTAACATCCTCCACTGGTGGCGTCCACTCCTGCTTTCAAGTTCTTATGCCCATTTTCATATCTATATATCTCTCTATAGGCATATATGATAAAATAAGTTCTCAAATGATTGCAAATTATGTCTTTCAGTTAAATGTGTATACAGATTAATGTGTGTTTATTCACAAATAGTATATATAGTTTCACAGCCATTGCGACTTTAAATATAATTAGGTATATATAAATATATGTTTAACATATAAATATATAAATATAATAGAAAGTAATACTTAACATATGGTAAAGAAAAAGTTCAAACAGGGCAAAAGATATAAATAAAAACTATTTCTCCCACCTCAGTCTTCCCAGTCCCTCTCTCTAGTACTTTTCTGCATTATTGCAGAAATATTCTCTGCATGTGAAAGCACATGCATCTTTTATTGCTTAAAAACACAAGTGGGAACACACATACAAACACACGAATAAATATATAAATATACCTGGCTTTTTTCCTGTAACAACAAATCTTGGATATTTTTCTTATCAGCACAAATAGATCTGTCTTATTATTTTTAATGACTACAAAATACTCCATTTTACAGGTGTGCCTAATCTGTTTTTAAGAATCTCCTCTTGATGGAAATTTAGGTCACTTCCAATCTTTTGGTATTATATGTACACATCTTTGTATATAAGCAGAGTTTATCAGGAGACAAAAAGTCTAGAAGCCAAATTGCTGTGTCTAGTGGTAAATGCTTAAATTTTGATAGAAACTGCTGTCTTCCAAAGACAGTTTTGTACTAATTTGCACTCTCACCAAAAGTGTATGACAGGGCCTGTTTTTCATACTCTCATCTGTCCTGTAAAACGAACAAACATTTTGTCTTTTCGTTCATGTTGGGTAAAAATAGTATTCATTGTTTCTTGATTTTTATTTGTTTAATATACTACAACCACATCTGTTGATCATTTCTTGCATGCAAGGCATTATTTCAAGTGCTTTACATTTTAACTTGACTCAGCAACCCTTTGAGGTAAGTAGTGTTATTATTCTCTTTTAATAGACGTGAAACATGAGACACAGAGGGGGAAAGTTACTTGCTCAAGATTATGCAGATAGTGGGTAGCAGGGCTGGGATTCAAGCCCAGTTGGTAGACAGTCTGGCTCCAGAGCCTATGCTCTTAGCTACTAAGCTATTCCCTAAATAAATGCCACATATTTGTCTTCCATTAAAAATGAACTATCTGTCATGGCCTTTGCACATTCATCTTATTGATTTGTAGGCACTCTTTACATATTAGGGAAATTAGCCCTTTCTCATATGAGTTTTAAATATGTTTCCAGTTTGTATTTTTGATACTCTTCATGTTTACTTTTGCATACAGATATGTTGAATTTTGATGCAGTTGAGTTTTCAATCTTTCCTTATGATCATTAAGCTTTATGACTAACTTAGGTCTTCCTTGCTCCAAGATCACAAAAACATTCTTATATGTTTTCATTTTGTACTTTTTAGTTTCATTTAAACCTTTGATCCTTCTGGGTTTTATTTTTGTGTTAGGAGTGAAGGCAGATCTCAAGTTACATATTGATTTATTTTAGATATATAGTTTTGTCTTTTGACATTTACATAAATGTAAACCCACTCAATAAGTAATATAAAGCACACAAAGATATATACACACAATTGCATGCCCAGATATACCTATTTCTACATAGATTGATAGAAACAAATTCATACATAGAAATAAAATATATGCAAATACAAGTACCAAAATGAAAATACAGTTATATGTCCCCTGAACATTTGAATACTTGGAGAAACTTAATTCTTAAAGTAATTCCAGGTACAAGTGAGATTTGGTTGCTGCTGACTTAGGACACACCCACTTTCCCTTAATAGAACATTAGCAAGTCTTATGGTTGGACCCTCCATGTGCATCAGTATATTTATATATTAAAAGCATCACATAAAAATCGGTTCGACTCCCTGTTTATGTTTCTTGTGTTTTGTAGCAAAGGAAGAAAGCAGGTTAACAAGAGCCGTATAAAAGATGGCTAAAATCATGGGCTAGAATTTATTCAGTATCCTTTACCTGCCTGCAGAGGAACTCAGTCATATCTTGGCTATTTCCAGATCCACAGCTATGCTGTCTTTTCATTTCTAGCTCTAAAAGTTAACTCCTGATTTAGATCTTCCTATTTTGAGGGAAAACGAAAGAAGAAGAATGTCTGGGTCTAGGCCAGTGGTTTTCAACCAGGGGCAGTTTTGTGCCTAGGGGACATTTGGCAATGTCCCAGTTATTTTTGGTAGTCACAACTGTGGATAGGGGCGGCTACTACTACCATCTAGCGGGTAGAGGCCAAGGGTGCTGTTAACATCCTACAGTTCAGAGGACAGCCTGCTCACCTTTCTAACAAAGAATTATCGGATCCACAATGTCAACAGTGCCGCTGTTCAGAAACTGTGGTCTAAATCAGGGAAGGAAAACCAGAAATCTGGGTTAAGTGTCGATATTTAGACTTGTAGGGGTAGAAGTACAATGTGCTAAAGAAAGAAACTTGAGCATCTTTATACTAACTCAATACAAACACATTTCAGAGGTTTTGGTGGCTGTTCTCATTGTACTTCCTGCTCCGTATGATATGGCCATTTACCTAATCAGTAAACAAGCTGACAACTCAATGGATTTTTTGCCTTTGCAAGTGTCGCTAACCTTTATTATGTAATATAAGAAGTCTGAGAATTTTTTTAATGATTATCTTGAAATCCTTTCAGTTACGAACTCTTGTTTGTAACCTTCAATATTTTTGTTTTGTCTTTCTGATGCAGTTTTCTAATAGTCTGTTTTTTCCTGTTCTTTAAAAGAATTCTGTGGACACTTTAAATCGTCTAGTAAAGTGATCACTGTTCTTTTAATAAGTAACATATTAATTGTAGTTTGCATCAGCAGTTTTACAGTAAAGGGAGGTTCTTGTGAAATCCCTTGATTCTGGGAAGACGAGGGAAAGAAAAAAAAGAAAGAAGCACGAATGCTATGCGGTTCTGCATCATTATTGCTGGCAATGTGTTGTTTCACCTCCTGCCCTCCTACCTCTTGTTTTCTGACCCAGTTCTGAGTGTTTGGCTGTCATATTTTGACTGAGGGCTGCTCTTGCACAGAATGCAGTAAGAAGCCTGTCAACCTCACAAATACATTAAAGAAATAAATTTTAAAAGTGCTCATAAGGGCCGGCCCTGTGACTTAGCGGTTAAGTGCTCACGCTCCGCTACTGGTGGCCCGGGTTCGGATCCCGGGTGCGCACCGATGCACCGCTTCTCCGGCCATGCTGAGGCCGTGTCCCACATACAGCAACTAGAAGGATGTGCAACTATGACATACAACCGTTTACTGGGGCTTTGGGGGGAAAAAAGGAGGAGGATTGGCAATAGATGTTAGCCCAGGGCCAGTCTTCCTCAGCAAAAAGAGGACGATTAGCACGGATGTTAGCTCAGGGCTGCTCTTCCTCACAAAAAAAAAAAAAAGTGCTCACAAATATAAATAGAACAATCAAACTTCACAGGCTTCAAACTGAGCTTCATTTAAAGCGCCACGTTCTGTACAAGTTAATTCTTTCCCTGTGAAATCTTAATGTGGCACCAATAGGGGCTCCTAATCTTAGATTGTCAGGTTTATTGGGGTGAAACACTGTACAGCTGGATAGTAATTGTATCTGTATTATAACATTGGCAATGAGTTGAATCTAATGACTCGGAGGCATTTATAATTCAGTGATTAGAATAGTAACAAATGAGACAAATTAAGAGCAGAGTGTTTTTATTTACTCTGTAATTTTCAGCAGTTCTTTCAATGCTTGTCAAAATTTTAATTGTTGGCATTCGTATTTTGGCAGACTTTATACTTTAGAAGGAAAACTGGTTGAGAGTGGGGCAGAGTTGGAGAATGGACAGTTTTATGTGGCCGTCGGCAGAGATAAGTTTAAGAAATTGCCTTACAGTGAATTACTTTTTGACAAGTCAACAATGAGAAGGTCTTTTGGGTAAGTTTTCATCTTCATTCACTTCTCGTATTTTAGTTATTTCTTGAAATAGCGTTGATTCTTTTGCTGACCACTGGTGTATTTTATACTATCTTGTTTATCAGTTAGAATGGAAAGCATGTATGTATACCTTACTTTCTGTTTGTTTTTGGCCATGATTGGAAATTGGGAGCTATTGCACAAAAATACAATTTTTGGGAATCTCTGAAAGACTATATAGTATTTTTTTACCATTTACTTATGAATTTATGATAAAGATTTATTATTATGAAGAAGATATGAGGCAATGAGCTTCTATGCAGCATACATTATTAGAAGTTTTAATAATGTCTTAGCTGTTTAGCTAGACCAAATAATTTTTCAGTTGGTACATATAGAAACATCTAAAGGTGTTAAAAAAAATATGTTATATCTTTTTTAATAGTAACTGTAAGATATAAAAACAACATAATTCCACTTGTGCAAATAAGTAGAGTGGCTGGGTCTATAGTTAATACATGCAAAATTTTAAAGATTACCCTTTGAATTATACACAGTGCACTGGGAACCTATTTTTCTCTATGAAATGTCACATATTTGTGAAGGATGCCGTATTTCAGTCCAGTAGACGGACTGCAGAGGCATGCCTGGAGAGCCTGGCCCCTGGCAGATGCAGGGACCCCTCGGCTTGCTCGTGGTGCCCCCGGATCCAACTCTGCTGCTTTTCCATGGCCACTTTGCTATTGGAAACTGATTTTTTGTTGCTGTTATCTGCTAGGCTGGCTGATATGTGGCAGAGAGACAGCAGAATGTCACCAATTTGTTCTCCGTTAATTAACAATTTGTGTAGCTTGATGGAGAGGCTAGCCGAGGGTTTCTAAATAAGTAATAGATAAAATGGAATATTGGGGGTGGCGTTTGAAGTATGCAGGAGCACATAGTTTTCCAGAACTTTAGAATTAGTTTCCAGCAGACTTATTGCTAACCATCCTTACCCATCCATGAAATCAAATCCTTCACAATCTCTGCAAAGCAACGCTGGATTAGCCTGCTGTGAGCTGCAGTGTGTGCTCAATGGCAGTGAGAAATCCGTTAACTCCTGGTAGCCTTTTTCAGACAAATGAGTAAGACTTACCTTTCTCCATGTGTCCTCCTATTTTTGGAGAGGTTCAGTTGGGTTTCAAGGTGGATCTTTTCCTAATAATATAGACATCTGCAGAACAACTTACTCTTATAAATGAAGAGAATTTTTTGTTTTTTGGTGAGAATGACTGGTTTAGAAATTCCTTGACTATAAATGCCAGTGTTTTATCATTCTGTGCTTCTATCAGAGGTAGACATCATAGATATTATAAAAACAATGGGAATTTGTAGTTTTTAACTCAATCTGGCAAGATCATTTTTCGGCTTGGGAAATGATTTTTTGAAAAGCAAATAGGAAATTTGGTGATTTAAATAAAAATGGTATGAAAACATTTAAGATGGTACTGCATTCATTTGTAAGCATCAATTAAAATAGTTTACAGGAAAGTATGAAATATCTTTTGGAATGGAATTTGGAGATTTTATGATGGTTTTAGTGAAATCGGGAACGTTTATAGTACTTTTTGTGAAATACTGATGTCTGTAAACAGTTGACTTCCCCGTTGGGATGACAAATTGAGATGACAATTATCTTACATTATATATTTTCTGTAATTAATGTTCAGATTTCTAAATTGCAATTTGTTTCCGCAGTCAGAAACCTTCTTCACTACCTCCTATCGTAGGATCCAGAAAGTCTAAGGGGAGTGTAAGTATCAGACGCTTTACTCATTAGTGTTCGATGTTTCTGTACGATACAGAGAGGCTGTCCTTTGGGTCACAATTAAATATGAAGAAATAAAACTTCGCCGCCATGTGGTATATAAGCAATTATGTGCAACCACACTAGAACATTAATGTTACAATTAAGTTCCGAGAAGAAAGCTAACATTTTTAAAATACAGATTTACTTTTTCTATTTTTTTTCTTTTCTTTTCTTTTTTTTTTTTGTGAGGAAGATCAGCCCTGAGCTAACATCCATGCTAATTCTCCTCTTTTTGCTGAGGAAGACCTGCTCTGAGCTAACATCTATTGCCAATCCTCCTCCTTTTTGTCCCCAAAGCCCCAGTAGATAGTTGTATGTCATAGTTGCACATCCTTCTAGTTGCTGTATGTGGGATGTGGCCTCAGCATGGCCGGAGAAGCGGTGCGTTGGTGAGCGCCCAGGATCCGAACTCGGGCCGCCAGCAGCGGAGCGTGGGCACTTAACCACTAAGCCATGGGGCCGGCCCTACAGATTTCAAAATAGATACTTTTTCCTTTAGACAGACGTGATAACATTTACATCATGCTTGAAATCTAGGCAATAATACATAAAACTAGAAGTAATGCCGTATTAGGTTACATCCGTGGTCTACCCAGTCTTGTTTTTTATCTCTAACAAAGACTAACAAGAGGAATTTTTTCTATCTCTAACAAAAGGAAGTTTTTGTAAGAATATGGTTATCCTAAATTATGTTCCTTTAAAGATTGAGAATCATCCCAAATAGTTCCCTATCAGAATCTTTTCCATCCATCATTTATTCATTTGTTAATTCAGCAAGCATCTATTAAGTACCTATTATGTGCAAAGCATTTAGTAGGTAATTTCTTAACCTATTTGTATTTTTTGTCTGTACTCCCTCATGGGGATGAGTTTCATGTCATGTGGGGGTATTGCCTTGACAGGTTTTTCTGGCTGAAGCTTCTCTTTCTACCCTGTTGACTGAATTGCTTGACTGGTAGTGATCAGAATCAATTTGACATCTCTCCCCTTCTGAATTAACTAAGCAAAATTCTTCTTCTTCTTCTTCTTTTTTTTTGGTGAGGAAGATTGGCCCTGAGCTAACATCCTGTTGTCAATCTTCCTCTTTTTGCTTGAGGAAGGTTGGCCCTGAGCTAACATCTGTGCCAATTTTCTTCTTCTTCTTCTTCTTCTTCTTTTTTGGTGGGGAAGATTAGCCCTGAGCTAACATCTGTTGCTAGTCCTCCTCCTTTTGCTAAGGAAGATTGGCCCGGGACTAACTCCATGCCCATCTTCCTCTACTTTATATGTGGGATGCCAGCCACAGCATGGCTTGATAAGCAGTGTGTAGGTCTGTGCCCGGGATCCAAACCTGCGAACCCTGGGCTGTGGAAGTGGAGGGCGCAAACTTAATCACTATGTCATTGGGCTGGCCCCAATCTTCCTCTATTTTATATGTGGGTTGCCACCACAGCATGGCTTGATGAGTGGTATAGGTCTGTGCCCAGGATCTGAACCTGTGAATCCTGGGCTGCTAAAGCAGAGCATGCCAAACTTAACTACTATGCCACCTGGCCGGCCCAACTAAGCAAAATTCTTATATTGGTATTTTGTAAAATAAATGATTGCTGGGCAATGATACTGTCTCCTAATGGTGATATAGATATCTCTTCCCCCCTTTTGTTATATCATATGAAATTCTTGGAAAAAAGAAAAATAATTTTGGGGGAGGAAGTAGTGCTGAACTCAGCATAACAAACAACAGACGTTTAGTACCCACTCATTTGTAAATAGACTCTTGGACTACTCATGACAAAGCTCTTGCCCTCAAGAAACTCACAATTTAATTGAAACAGAGAAGATAGCTTGAAAAGGTAACTAACAAGCTAAAACTAAACACCAAATATGTGGTGAGATTGGTAAACATGAGAGAGACAGAAGGAATCAATGTGCATTGGCCAAAACTTCCAACATGGAGGAAGTTGAATTTGAGCTCTGCCTCTGAGGACTGTTTAAGATTCAGGAAAAGGTCAATGAGGGGAAAGGGGTTTCAGATAGAAGAGATGGTGTGAGGAGAGGAGCAGAGATGAGCACTCAGAGAAGCAAGAATGCTGGCTGATATTTAGTGAACACTCGAGGGCTCAACATTATGCCAATGTCTTTACAGATGTGTTTTATTTAATCCTCACCCCACGAGACAGGTACTGTTGTTATTGCATTTAAAAATGGGAAAAGGAAGCACAGACAGTAGAATTAGCACATCCAGAGGCTCCCATTGAGTAAACAGCAAGGGAAGGACTGAATCTGGCTGGCCTGCCTGGATGGAGCTCATGCTCCTGGCCCGAGGGGGACAATGAGTACCTCAGGCTGACTGGAACAGAGGTCCATCGTGGTGTGGAGGCTGATGTTCCTAAAATGGCAAGTGGTGGCAGTTTTAGATGACCTTGAATGTCAGAATGAAGAGTCTAGTCTTTATCTTTGAGTAGAGTGCAGCTCTTGAGGGCTTCTGAGAGGTGAGAATGTTAATCCAAGTCCATTCTAGGGAGGTCAGATCTTTCATGTGGAGAGAGATTTAACGTGGTGATAGGCCATAGATGAGACATCAATTATGGGGCAACTACAATAGCCTTGGTATAAAGGGATAAAAACCTGGACTAGGGAGGTGGTAGAGGAAGTAGGAGGTGATTATTGGTCATGAAGAAACAAAGGACTTGCTTGGTGATTGGGTACATGGCGTTAATGGAGAGGTTGGAGCCAGAGATCACTGCAAGTTTTTGAGCTTGGATGCCCGAAAAAATGGCAGTCCTATGGCTAAGAAGAGGGCAGTCAGAGGAAATAACGACCTGCATAATTTCAAACACATTGAGTTATAGGTGTCATCACAAAATCTAGTGGAAAGTGTTCAGCAAGTAGTTGTAAATGGCAGATACTGAGGCCTGATGGGGGCTTCCGATGTAGATTTGGAGTTCATCCCCATAATGGTCATAGTTGAAGAACAGAAACGTGTCGTTGTGGTATTCCTTCCTGGCACCCAGCACAGCCTGGCAGGGAGCAGGCTGCATTATGCTGTTGAGTGAGAGGATGGGTGAGTGGGAGCCTAGAGAGAGATAGTGCAGTAAGAACCACAGAGGCCCTAGGCTCAAGGCAACTTAATGTCATGGGTATGGAAAGGAAGAGAAGAGAGAATTTTCCAGTAGCTGAAAAAATATATTTTAGCCACTATAAAGCTAACTAAAACTCATGAACTTAGGGTTTGGAAATTTTGTCCTCTGGTTGTTCTTCAGGACTTTGGAGCAGAATCTCTTCTGCATACCATGCAAATATGAGCTCATTAATTCTCCCAGTGCAGCTGGAAGAGTGATAGTTAAACAGAGACTCGGTGTAGCTGAGTAACTGACCCGAGGTCACAGGGAAAGTTGATGTCAGAACCAAGATCATGACTCATCTCTTTGCATTCACAATTACTGAACTTTGGAATTATGTACCTACTATTCTGAAATTTGGAATGTCTAAATTTTTTATTAAAAGTGTGTAATATTTTTCCTGCTTTAATCATGTACAGGAGGCACATGTGTACAATTTTCTTTATTGCTCACTTTTTGGAAGTTCTCTGGAATCTATGCTGTGAATACTGGGTCATCTAACAGTAACTGGTTGAGTTTTCTGTGTATCTGGCTTGGAACTAAGCCCCAGGGAGATAGTGATGAGCATGAAGACACAATGCTCTCTCTTAGCTCATGGTCTACTTGAGGAGACAGAGGTTTAACAAGCAATTCCACAAATCAATATATAATTACAGAATGTGATAGAAATGAAAGAAAAGTCCAGAGCAAGATGAGAGACACTAAAAGGAGGACTAATTTAGATAGGTGTGTCAGGAAAGGCCTCTTTGAGGAAGTGACCTTGAAAGAAAGACTCAAAATTATAAGATATGTTTCTATCTCATAGAAAGCAAAGACTCAAAATTATATTTCCATGCTATGACTTAGAAAAATAAAATGATAGCAGAGTTTGTCCCTCTTTTCACAGTGCTCCCAAAGCATTCTATATATTCTTCCATCCATTCGTCTGCTCATTCAGTCATCCATTCAACATGTATTTATTGAGCACTTACTGAGTGCCAGGAACTACTCTAAGCAATTGGCAAATAGTGGTGAATAGACAGACAAGGTTTCAGACCTCATGGAACTTCCTTTTAGTGCCTGTGTGTGTGAGCGTGTGGAGGGAAGGGTGGAACAATCTGGGTAGACAGACTGTCAACCTCTGAACAAATATAGAAATAATTTCAGATGGTGATAAGTGCTCTAAGGAAAATAAAATGTGGCAGGGCACTAATTGATACAAAATTCTCTGAGACCTTAATGATGTAAGGGAGCCAGCCGTACAAAGTTGGGAGAAAAGAGCCTCCATGGCAGAGGAAACAGTCACAAGGCCCTTGGTAAAGAGCTTGGCGTGTGAGGAGGGCAGAAAGAAGGCCAGAGTGGTCTGAGGTGGCATTGGAGAGGCAGGCAGGGCTCAGTCATGTAGGGCACGCAGGGAGTTTGGACGTTATTCCTTGATGGGACACCATTTGAGGGTTGAAGAAGGGAGTGAAGTCATTTGATTTACATTTTTGAAAGACAGTTCTGGCTGTGGCATCTGCAGAGAAGTGGCTCGGGGCAAGAATGGAAGCATGTGGCAGTGAGGCAGCTGGAGTCCAGGTATGGGAGGCAGGTGACCTGGACAGGCGGCAGCAGGGGAGATGGACATCTATTGTAACTCTTCTTTGAGTGTATTGTAAGTGTCTGTTGTCATCGGTTGATGCATTCATCCAACAGTCATTTATTGAGTGCGTATTATGTCCTGGGTGCCGTTTTAGTGCTTGGGGGGTGGGGAGGGCAGAGATTCCAGGGAAAACACACTAGATGTATGGACCTTGTATTCTGGAGGAGGAGAAAGACAAATGCACAAAACATTTGGTGTTAATCAGGGATAAGCTTGAAGAAAAATACATCAGGATACGGGAAGAGAAAGTGAGAGAGGGTGCTACATCATCTTTTAGGAGTTTCGTCTGAGCAGGGGGATTCATCAGCCTGGCACACAGTAGGTTCTCACTAAACCTGTTTAGTGGGTGTGTGAATGACTGGCAGTGAGCCACACAGAGAAAGCATCTTATCTTGGTAATTCCAAAGTCACAAACTCAATATTTAACAGAAGGATTAATTTACTCCTTTCCTTTAATTAATTGGTTCCCTGGAGAATGTACGTGTTTTTAAGATCGTTAACTGCTTGGCACTGAGTGGGGGTGTGAGTGAAGGGGACTGTGGGAGAGCTAGCTTAAAACTTGAGGCACCACTGCCAAATCAATGGGGAAAGCATCCCCAAACCCAGGATGCAAATCACAGGCGACACAGGACTAGACTTTTTGGAATTCATTTTTCCACACAGCTTTCTAGGAATTGCTCTGTTGCATAATGAAAAGGAGTGTGGGTGGGGGCCTGATAGAACTTAGAAAAAGAAAAGAGAGAGAGAAAGCTGCCATAGTCTGCACAGGGGACCTTTGCTGGGGCATACGTGACTTGGTCAGCAGGGCCCCACCCTTGTGGTGGGGCGTGTGGGTAATGACGGGTTCTGGGGGTCGAGCAGACCCTTTCAGAACAGCCAGGGAATGCCTTGTGCAAAGCAGGACAAAACCAGAAGCCACCCCTTATACAGACTCCTGGTGCTGGGAGAGTCACAGAAATTGACGAATAGTGAATAATTTTAAGTTGCAATTCTAGCCTTGAAAACAAAAGGAAGATATAAGTAAATTGTCTTAAGTTCTGTTAAGTTTGAAAAATAAACCATCAGCCGGAGGCTGTTCTCTAGCTGGGAAGTCACACCACATGGCATCAAAGCACCCTCTAGTGGAAGAGATGTGAAAATCAGAGAAGTACTTGCAAGTTAAAGCCAGAGATTAAATTGTCTTTTGTGGTTCTTATTGCCATGTGGTAATAATATATCTTGTGATCAGTAATTTACAGATTCAAATATTATAATTGCTAAGGTTTTGGTAAAAAAGTGACATGATTATCCATGTATCACAAAGTCACTGTGAAGCAGGATAAATTTTATATGCTCCCAAAACTCCATTTTGCCTTGTGGGAAACTGAGTCCACTGTGGATAAAAGGGCTTCTCACACTGGCCATCCCCAGATGCGCAAGTGAGAGAAATGCCAGCCTGAGTCTGGGTCTGGTCCCCTGCCCCTGTCTGCTGGGTGCATTGCTGAAACACACACATAGTGAAGGCTGCTCTGTGAGGCAAACCTCTCACAGAATTATTTTAAACTTGATGTTTTATGGCCTATATATTTTTGGCACGTTTTCATGGGGGCTGGAGATGGGCTTTTGGTAGGAATGAAAGAAACCTGAGTTGATTGGATCTTGTTGCAGAGAGCCTAGGGAACTATTAAAAAAATCCCAATTTCAGTCCAGTGAGGGGTGATTGAAGGGCTTTCTTTAGTTTTTTGTTAGTTTGAGCCAGAGGTTTGCTATTCCTGTGGGATATACTGATATATGTGTGAGGCAGAAGGCAGGACAGTGGCTGAAGTATCACATGAGGTCTAGTTTTTGTGTAGGGCGTGCTGTAAAATTAGGCTGCTTCTTGATTCCTTCCACTTTAGGGTAAAGTGTCACTTCCGGATGGCGTTTTTAGGGAAAAGTATACTATGTAATCGCTGTTTCTAGTCCCTTGGAAACGTCAGTGTAGTAAAAAAATCAGACCTCAGTAACCTTGAGAAAGTTAATTCCTTTATCTGTAAAGTGGTGATAATAATACCTCTCTATAAATTTGGTAAATATTTGTGTTAATGGGTGTTTAGCCCATAAGAGGTGCTCAATGATATTGTTTTATCAACTAGCATAGCTGTTATGAGATGGCAAAACTCCCCTGTTCTGTATGCCCCCCAGATAGCAACGACTAGCTGTCTCTGTATCCAAGTTATAAGTCACATGTGAAAGTCTCAAAAAAGAAAAGAAAATCCTTACCTCCATTCCTTTGTCCTTCCCTCCCCATCTCTCTCTTGATATAATTTATATATAATTTATTTAATTAACTATGCAAATAAATGAGTATATGTAATTTATATTAACAATTTATTTACATATTTGTATATAAATTATTACATATTTATTTTGTAGTATTAACTTTAGATGAATCAACATGTTTTCTTTTTTAAAAAGAAAAGCATTTATATTATTTCCAGTTTTCTAATTACAAAACAATTCTTCCTTTTCTCTCAGTTTCATTTAGTCCTTACTCACAAAGTACCTAGTGATTAGTCATGATCAATATTGGGATTCATGTCAATGACCAAAGCCCTGCCTTATAGAATTATTGGAATCAACTAGTCTTTCGTGATGCTCCAAAATCATCCCTTTGAGTGTCTCTATCAGAAATGTAGGAAATCAGGACATCCTGTATATTCACCAAGAGAGTTGATTTTTAAAATTGTACGAATCCCCAGGCACACCAGGATGGGGCATCTGCTTCTCCCTTTTTAGACCCCTTTTGTGAGTAAGACTTTTCCCAGAGAGCTGTAAAAAACCGTCATGCTCATTCATTAAGTTTCATTTTAGTTCTCGAAAGTTCAGCAGCTTCTCTGAACATTCTAGTTGGCTTGCTAGAAGGGTTACTCCTCTCATTCAAGACTTTTAAAGTTTTAAAATGTTGGGATGAATAGACTCAGGTGAAAATAGACTGGAGTATGAGATCCAGCTGATGGTTTTGGAATCTCCACTATAATCACATTATTATTTTTTCTGCCAGGCAGTTTATGGCCTCATGAGAAAGGATCATTGAAGAAAAGGAAAGAAAAAAACAACACCTCTGGTTGCAGTTAATGCAATAATTAAATGGAAACTGTATGTTTAAATTGCAGTTGGAATAGGAAATTAAATTGTGCAGAAAAGTGTTATAGATTTGGACAAGTTTTCATACTGTTAATAAATCTATGCATAATTCATTTTCTTGTAGGCTATGACAGAATAGCATAAATAACTTCATTTGTAAGGCTGTGAATTTTTCTGTTCTTATTTTGGTGAAGGCTAAAACTATTTAAATGCTTCTGGATGACTGAATATATAAATGTTTAAAATGAGCAGTTATAATAGGTTTCTAGGCAGATTTGTTTACTTAATATTACTACATTTATTTTCAGATAGTAGCATAGTACAGATGTTGCATAAAGATTGCACCCAATATGGTAAGAGTTTGATAGGAATTTTAAGAAGAGAGAAAAACTCTCTGCTCTAGGAGAAAGCACTCACTCTGGTATTCATTGAGCAAATACTACATGCCAGGCACTGTACTACTCACTTTACAGACATTCCCATTTCATCCTCATGATAGACCCAAAGGCAGGTACATTAACCTCCTTCAACTGATGAGGAAACAGGCTCAAAGAAGGTAGGAGTTAGCCCAAGTTCCCATAGGTGGTTAGTGGCGGAGCAGTGGCTCTGAGCCAGGTATTTTGGGTCTCTCAAACTTGCATTCTTTCCATTACTTGCAGCCTCACACCTTACACACTCAGGTAGGTTTAGCACCTGAGCATCTGAGAGCCAAGGCTGCCTTATTAGGAGGGAGTTTCTTGCTGTGGCAATGGCCAAGCAGTGGCTGAGTTACCAGCACAGCTGTTCTTTGTGTGCTTACAGTAGCCACCACTGTAGTGGCTGTTCTCTGGCTCTCCAGGAGCTGTACCCAGGCCAGTAACGTGAGCCACTGAAACTCAACCTCTCCTTCATGCCAATGAGCTTACTTCACATATGTGAGGTCTTCATTTTCAGAGGCACGTGGGGACCACAGGCAACCATGGAAGGTGTGATCCATTGTGTCCGCCCTGCAGGAATTGGGAGCATGTGGTCCTGAGCTGCTTGTGTCTGTATTGCTCTGAATTTGAGATTCATAGAGATCATGGCAGTCACCAACAGATTAGTAAATATTGGAGGACTTCTACAAGTGCAGTGTATGTCTGCTTGTAGGATGATACCTATACATTTATAACTAGTTAAGAAGGTATTTCTAGATTAACTGATCAAACTGAGGGCTGTCACCATTCCTCATCCCACAGATAGCTGCTGATTCTTCAGACAGGTGCAGGAGGGAGGGGATGGTTAAGGCAGTGGACCTGCTCCACTCCTTGCTGGCTGCGTGACCTTGGGCAAGGCTTAACCTCCAAGCCTCATTTCCTCATCTATACAGTGGGGTGATAACAGTACCTGTCTCACAGGGTTATGAGGATTGAGTGAAATAATTTTATAGAATACTTGGTACATATTAAGTACTCAACAATTGTTAGTTGTTATTTTTTTCTCCTTCCTCTGCTAGACCTTCCTAGACCCTTCCTCTGCTGCTAGGAAGAGCTAATGTAGGTATTAAAATGGGCAGGAGCAGAAGCAGCACAATACATCCATCCCCCAGCCCTGTCCTATTTACCACTAGTTAATGACTTGTATTGACTAGGAATCACTTTGGGAGTTCATTAGCCAATAGTAAGGATCTAATCTTTTGCCACTCAGGGAAATGATCGCCAATCTAAGTCAACAGTCGGATCCAGCGACAACTCATCTCCTCAGCCCCCAAAGAGGAAAGGGAAAAAAGAAGATGCGAATTCGGAAAAACCCACGAAAGAGAAACAAAATGTAAAGTTAAAGGATTCACCACAACCAATTCCGAACAGTGGTAAGTTTGTTGTTGTTGTTATTATTAATTAGCATTATCTTAAGGCTCTGATACAATTTTAATTCTTTTTTTTTTTTTGTGAGGAAGATTGGCTTGTGCTAACATCTGCCAATCCTCCTCTTTTTGCTGAGGAAGACTGGCCCTGGGCTAACATCCGTGCCGATCTTCCTCCACTTTATATGGGACGCCGCCACAGCATGGCTTACCAAGCAGTGCATCTGTGCACGCCCGGGATCCGAACCAGTGAACCCCAGGCCGCCGCAGCGGAGCACGCGCACTTAACCGCTTGCGCCACTGGGCTGGCCCCCAATTTTAATTCTTAATTAGATCCATTTGTTTCCATGGGCCCACAGAAGATACTCCCGATTGTCATATATGATAGTTTTCAAAGAAGACTTTTTGTGTATGAAAGATCCTACTGTTTTGTATGTTTAACTTCCATTTGTAATTAGAGGTTGTGCTATGAGGACTTGTGTTTTGAGATAAAATATTTCTTGCGGTGGTCTTATAAAAAAAGGTAAATTTTACCATCCTGTGCTCTTACTGACAGTGCTTGATTAACATTTTTACCAACTACTCTTGACAGCCATCTCTCTTACTTGTGTGTCTACAACTCTTGTCTCCATTCATTACAATTTATATTTAGTCATAGATCACCTTTCCCGAAAAGATGTTTTACTAATTTTACTGATACCCAAGAGAATACAAAACATACACAAAACTTTACCAATAAGCTATGTATATCAAAATTAGTTATGTAGTTTTATCTTAAATTACCAGCTGAGAGATGGTATAAAATAAATTTTTTGAAAAAAATCTGCATTAGTACGAGATTTCAGGATAAAAGTGTGATGAACTAAGGACATATACGTCAAAATTGTGCATATTCACATTAGAGTTTTTGGAAGACGGGCTGTTTTTGGTTTCATTTCAAGCGTATTCTCAGTGAGCCCAGTGCATGAGAGTGGAGTGATGCTGCGGGCAGGGAGGGGTGGCTGGGGCACAGCCCAGTGGAGTGATTGCTTCTCCTTCCCCCTGGGATCCACTCACATGCCCTGCAGGGGACATCCTGGGGTGCCCCGGAAGAGGATGGATGGGATAAGCTTTCAGATTCATGGACAGAGCTCTATCTTCCACCTGGGAGCTCCAGCTCATTTCAAAGTCGATATGAAGAGTTACGTGAGAATTGCAGCTAATGTGGGCTTCACAACTGAGGAGATGGCATGAACTCATAGGAAGGTTTAGAAGATGCTGAACACATGATTAAAGAGGCAGAAGAAAGGTGTGCGAGACTAGGTTAAAAGAACAGTCTAAATGAATGAGCCAATTACATAAAGAACGAGTAGAGGAGGATTTAAATCTCCAAAGATTTAAATGATAGAGATTAGCTGGAAGTCGAAGTCCTAGATTCTTGTCCCAGTTCTGCTGTTGACCTTGGGCAAATCACTTAACTTTTTTGGGCCTTATTAGCTATCTGCAAAATGTAGGTTCATATTAAGATTTATCTTGCAAGTTTTGCTTGTCTTTAAATTTATGCAATCCTTTTCATGACCATGAAACAAGGAGGCTAGGGTGAAATGCCGTCAACAAATGTTTGTTGAATGCTTATTGTATGACAGGCACCAAAGGGAAAAAGCTAGCCTGGAAGAACAGGCCGTACCTTGAGCATTAAAAATAATAGAGGCTTTATTTTAATCAATATGTACTAGATTGTAAAGCCCCTAAGGCCATCGGCTGTGTCTTACTAGTTTTGTTTTAATCCCCAACAACTGGCACAGGTCTCATAGATTTGAGACACTTAATAAATACTGATTAATGAATGATGGAAGTTACAAAATAGGTAAGTCTCTGTAATACTTTAAAAACCACTAAGAAACAGGACCCATTTTCAACTTGGCGTGAATTATATTTTTATTAAAGGCTTTTATAAAATATTGCTTGCTTATTTTCTGTGAGGCTCTTATTAGCTTACAAAAATCCCAAATTCTCCTTCCACTATATTTTTCAAAAGTCTGTAGATTTAGTAGTTGTCCCTCAGGAGAAAGGGAACCACCATCTTTTCAGGTTCTTATTTGTAGAAACTTGAGAACACAAGAGGCTGTATCAACATTTTCCTCTTTCCTAGGAAAGTAACCTTTATTAAAAGCTGAATTATAAGTATTTTTGCTTTTGTAGAAATTCACAAATAGTTTTCAACTACAGCTGTATCTGTGGGGATGAAAATAACAAAAAACATGTTGAACACTGAAGCAAGTCATATTTTAAAAACGCTAAGAAAAGGTAGAAACCCTCAGCTCTTCTTTCCTTGTCTTTAGAGAATCCTGCAGTTGTTTTAGATAATTGCCCATTTTAAGTGTATATTTTCCAATGCAGTTTTATAATGTGCAGATTATAGGTTTTTAACTGCTGGATCTCATTGTTACATAGAACAACAACAGCTGGTGTCTTTCAAATGAAGGTTTTGGGGACTGAAATTATTCCCCGGTGAGAGGCTTATACCACTGATCTAGAAGCATATAGGAGAGTTTAGACGGAGCATTTTGTATCTTTTTATCTTGATAGAAAGAACATATGACCTGGGAAATGAATCTTGGCTTCCAAAAACAATTTTTCCAGGGAAAATGAAAAAAGATTTTGTGCAGTTCACTAGATTAAATCATCACTTGATAAATTTAAAGGTATTAGTTTAAATCCATACTTTTGAAAATTGAGCTATTTCTCCTTATCAGATCTTCTTCCAGATGTCTTTGGCTATAGATGTTTCCAGGTTATAATATCAAAATTGTCTCTCTTTCTTGTTCTCTTTTTTTGGCTCCTTAATTCAGCGTTCATATTCATTTATTATTGCAGTTGCTTTTTGTTTTAATGTCCTCTGTTTTAGTAATTAGAACCAAGTGTGCATTTGGATATTCATGTCTCAAGAGGCCTCTTATTCCTTAGAAAGATAAAAACAATAAGGACTTGAAACGAAGTGAAAGGGAAGGTGTGTGGCGAGTCAAGATAATGACTAAAAAATGCACGAATTTAATACTGAATTGCACATTTGAAAGTTGCTAAGTGAGTAGATCTTAAAAGTTCTCATCACTAGAAAAAAATTTGTGTAACTATGTATGGGGACGGATGTTAACTAGACTTATTAGGATGGATGTTAACTAGACTTATTATTGTGGTCATTTCACAATATACACAAATATTGAATCAAAAAATGCAAGAATTTTGTTTTAGAGATGAAACATCGTTTTTTCTACTTAAAAATATTTTAAATTTGGAATTAAGTAATCTATTCAATTTTATTTCAAAGTGTTAAGTTTTAGAGTTAGGATGAATATCTATGATTATTTTATAGCATATGTTAAATTGTGCAAAGTTTTGATCCAGTGTTCTTTACCTATATACTGTTCTCGTGTTAATTAGAAAAAAGAGACTTCGTAGGCTATCTTGATTTTTTTAATAATTAAGATTGTAGTCATACATTTTGTCCTTTTTTTACTGCTGGTATTTACCGAAATTCTGACATCTAATGCTGTGTGAATGAGCAGTGCTGATGTCAGTCTGTAGATGGCAACCTGGGTCTAATTTTATTTCTTTTTCTTTTCTTTTTTTTTTTTTTTTTTTTGACTGTTTCTCTCTATAATAGTAAAGCTTAATAATTCAAGCAGAGCAGTGACATATTTCTTCAGGGAAACAAATCCCATTTTCTTTTGGTAGCCAAGATGCAAAGTGAGATTGGTTGGTGATTGATGAAGTTGGGTGTGAAATGCATTTTTAGTGCTGCATTTAAATACCAGCTTAACTGACCAGCGTGTGTCTTCGTTACACTTTCCACTTGGGTTTCGGTGTCTTGAGATATGTTTTAGAGGCTGTTAACTAGCTACACTCTCTACTACGAGCAAAGTAGCAATGATAATTGTTTTGAAATGGTATTTTGGGATTGATTATATTCATTGATATTTTTAATATTTTCTACGTGAAAAAATTTGGTGTTTTTAGAACCCTTGGAACACAGACAGGGTAGTGAATTTAGGGATCCTTAGAAATATTGAAAAGGCTGCAGAGAAAATAGCCTGGTCTGTGTTGCTATGGCTTATGTGGTGTCGATAATTATAAATACTTTTCAAAAGCAGAGTATTAAAATGTAAGCAAAAACAAGACTTGTTTTCTTTTGAAGGATGTGATTCTGTTTGCATGTGTGGGCGCGTGCAAACACACACACACACACGCACACCAACTAGTATCCTTGATGCAGTTCCTGGCTTATCCCCAGCATCGTTCTGTGATAGCTCCCAAGGAACTTGTGATGTTTAGACTCCTGATGAATGATGGGGAGCAGGTGCAGTGCCGGGGAAGCATGACTGAATGTGATGACCTTGCTGGGTGACTGCCCTCGAGCAGTCATGCTCTTGAATTTTCTAATAGCTACAACCTGCACATGGTTTGCTGCGTTGCCCCAAGCGTGAAGCATTACTGCAATCCATCCTCAGAGTCATGTCCCGGGTCCCTGAAACTTGAGCTTCTTGGGTTCAGCTGATGAACCAGCTCAGGCACTTGAATGGTTCCCAGTCACAAGAGACTCTGAAGATAAAACAGGAAGCACGTTTTTCAAATGTGCTCTCCCAAGTCTCACCCTCCAAAGAGTATCATGTACCAGAAGGAAGTATCTAAGAAGGCACCAGCATGGCTTCACAAAGCAGGGCACTGCTTTTGTTTAATAAGCTAAGGTAAGATTTATGATACATTGGTGTCTGTTGCCACCATACTCACCCTATGACAGGGAAATACAGATTTTCTATTCATTGATTGTGACTTCCCATCTCAATGGCAGTGTTGTGGGATATGGGTCAAATTTTACTACGTCAAGTGCTAGTGTGATAAAAATTTGTAAAATAAGCCTTTTTCCGTGTCTCAATGACCTTTGTTGGAATGACATATTGTACAACAAAATTCTAGTACAGCAAGGGGTTTTAGTAATTTCTTCAAGTTTTATTGTGTTATTCAAATTCTGTTAATAAAAGTTAGTTTAGGAATGTATACTTTGCTGTTCACTTTAGTGCTGAGAGACTGAAAAATTAGAGGCTGGCTGAATGCCAGTAAGATGTTTATCTGAGTTTGAGAGGAGTAAGATACTAGCCCTTTTTAGAAAATATTCTTTTCATATGCTGCCCTTGTACACACTTTGTACACTGGAGGGAGAAGCACCGTGAGAAAAGCATTCTTTTACAGCTGATATAGGGTTGAGGCCTCAGCAGTAAACTTCTTTTGGGGGCTATTTTTTATATAGCCCAGGGTTGCGGTGTGAAGATACTTTTTTGTTTTCAAAAGGAGGAGTTTGTGAGCTGTTGAATTACATAGATGTTTCCAAACTTTCAGAAGATTTTATTCCAGACATTCATTGTAAGTAGGTATTTTGTTACTCACATTGCGTTTTCCATACAAGTAGCCCATAAAGTTCTATATAACCCATAATGCATCTTAATTCTTGCACTGTACTCACAATGCCACATAAGATAGCTGCGGTGTGCGAGAATGTTTCTAGTGGGAAAGTGAGCTAGAAGTTCCATTTCAGAATGCCAGAAACTCATGTGCCTCTGCTACAGAGGGATGCAGAACTGCCCTAGGTCAAATTACTGGTGTAGGCCAGAGCCTTGAGGTTAGGGATCCAACTGGGTTTGGGTCTGAGGAGGAATGCAAAGGTGGAGGGGCTGGACCTAGAATTTCAGGAGGGGGACACTGAGGTCTGGGCTGAGGTTCTTTTATTAGTTGATGCTGTGCAAGAGGATGATGTTGGGATTGTCTCATCTTCATTTTTCCCCTAGCTTAGGCCTGCCCACCTCCCTTTTCATAGATGCTATCCATTACTTCTCAATAGGTCGTGTTTCTTTCGTGGCCCATCAAGGACTCTGACAAATTTCACAGCATTTCTTTGATTCTGCTGCCTCCAAAGTTAGCTCTGAGCTTTTCTGTAGCTTGCTGTAGAGAAAACGTGGATCCATACCAGTGATGAGTTTCTGACACACCAAAGACTGAAGTGTGATTCATCTACATTTCAGAAAAAGATCTACTTTTCAGAAAAGTTGAGTCACCCTGGCTGGGCATGTCATCATGGGATCTGAGGTAGGGCCCAGACTGAAGTTGTTAGGGAGGGGTGTGATGTCAGGAATGTCCATGAGATGCTGGTGACAGGGTGGCAGGAGGGGGAAGAAGTAGCCAGAGGATTTATTACTTTCCTCCCTCGCCAACTTCCTCTTCTTTCTGCCAGCCCTGTGGTGAGATAGATTAGGATGAGGGCCCGGTCCATTAGAGTTTCAGCGGCTCCTCGGCCATCATTCACACATGAGACACAGATAAGCACCCAGCAGAGTATCCTGCTCAGAGTAGTGCTCAGCATTTGTTGAGTGTGTGTGGTTGTGTGTATGTGCAGGTCCATTATGCCTACATTTGTGGTGACAATTGAAATTAAGGGCTACAAATTCCGAACAGTGAGTAATGGTACAATTCTGATACCCATGCTTTAGAATATCTCAATTGTGGATTTTAATCTGATATTTTATAAGCTTCATCTACAAATCCTCAGAATTAGGTAACAGCATTTCCCTAGTTTTACAAATGGGGAAAAAAGAGGAGAAACCAGTTATCCCAGAGTCAAGGGTATGTCAATGGCTAGTGGTTTCTGGAAACTGCCACGCTGACACGTAGCTAGCTAAGAGGTGGACATTCTCATGTGATTATCTGTAGGGCCTTGATGCCCATGAGTCCAGGGGAGGGGTGAGGGAGGCTTTCACATGTGTTTTGACCTATCTCCCTTTAGTGGTAAGAGTGTTGATGTATCCTGAAGCTTATCTGAGAGATTGGAGGAGTTCTCATTTTTCTCCTCTTCCATGCTTCAGTATTTCATATTCTCTTTGTAAATGAGAGTGGTTGATTTGAGCCCTTTGTGTTTTGTAGGTGGTAGCAGTTAGTTTATTACTGACAAGGAGATTTTCCTCTCTAGCAATGTGGTGTAATAATGGGTCTGCTCTACTCTCACACATACCAGGCTAGGACTGAGTCTAAGTCTTCAGCATTCAGACCTTGAGAATTTTCAGAATTTGAGAACCTTGAAGAAGATGGATATTTTTGAGGTTGACCTCTAGTTTATTTATTAAATGGCCAAATCCAATTTTTTTTTACAGTTACTTGAATATCCTAGGACTTAAACTCTTGTAACCCAAGCCCTTCTCTGCATCTGAATTTCCTCCCTCATGTTTCATGAATCTTTAGACTTCTGAACTCCGTTTGCTATATCAGAATACTACTTTCATTTCTTCCGTAAACATTTATTGAGTGCTTACTATGTACCACACACTTTGCTAATCACCAGGGCAACTCCATTTTCTCTCTCTTGCAATAATTGCTTAGCACTTACACATTTTCTTCGAGTAGTCATAGTTGTATCTTATCAAGAAATTTTCCTTGGTCAAGTAGAAGCAATTTCCTTCTCCAGTTCAATGACCAAACTCCATTCACCACCCATAAATGCTAAAATGTGTTTATATTGTAAGCATTGACATCTTCTCCTTCTTGATATTAAGTCATTTCCTGGATTGCTGTCCATGTGGAAAGTAGTACAGTACCAGAGTACCATTTCTACTAAGATGTATTTAGTATGGTGTCTGAAACAGTTACGAAATACTGCTTGGTATAATAAGGTAGGGGAGGGATATTTCCCCACTCATATAATATACTGGGACTCATTTGTAGACTGTGGCCTATTTTATAGTTAAACTCTATTTTTATTCTTCTCTGTTACCCTAAGTTGTTTTCAAAATAATAAATAACCTTTATTGCCAATCACCTTGCAGCATGCTGTCACAATGGGGATAAAGATAAAGAGAAAATGTCTATAAAGTACTTCTGAGCTATGTAGTTTTAAAGCTAACTATTTATTCTTATTTTATACAATTGGATGATAACACCAAATTGTTTCTGTGAATTGGGCAAGGTTTCGTTTCCTTTAAAATGCCATAATAAAAATCATTTTTCACAGGGAGGTCAGCAAAACTGACAGGGCCTCTGTGCCCCTGCACAAGTTAAGAGCATGTGTCTGTCACCTTTGGACTGATCATAGCTGGCTTTCTCCCAGGCTTTGTTTTGCTTAATGGGAAAGGTGCCAACACAAAGGGGGAGTCATTTTATGGAGAGTACTTATGCCATAGTAAGAAACAGGAATCCTCCACCCAAATCATTGAGGACAACTTCTAAGGCCTGGGCTGGCAGCCCAGCACCCTGCACTGCTTCTTCACGACCCCTTGGGATTACATAGAGCTTCTGGATGATCTTAAGGTGGATGCTCTTACCCAGGGAACAGCTTGTCATTTCCTAAAGGGGGTTCCGTGGAGCACTAGTTTTATGGGTTTTTAATAGATGTTTCTTGTAATAAGAGTTCTATGTTCAAACATAAATTTGGAAAATGTTGAATTATACAAAGTTAAGCCATTTTTTTTGCTACAGGATTTATCAGAGACTTTCATATGGAAATATTCCATGCTTTTTCAGACTTTGAATCCCTGTTACTGAAGAACATTGTTCTCTATAGCACAATTTGAGAAGCACTGGGGTACTCGAATAAGCAGTGTTTCCACACATTACTGCTTTCTTGACTGTTGAACAGTGTGGGGAATTTCTGATGAAAATTAAGACACCTTCTTTTTGTGTGGTTCTGATCAGATCGATAGCTAACATAAACAGCTCACATTTTCTGGGTGTTTACCATGTGCAAGGACTAGACTGAGTACTTACATATACAATCTCATTGATCTTCATATCAGTCCTATGACGTAGGTATCGTTATTATTATCATCATCCCCATTTTAGTAATAAAGAAACTAAAGCACTGAAGAGTTAAGACGTTTGCGTATGATCAAACGAGCAGCCAGTAATGGGGGCTCAGACCCACTGTTTCAGTCTGTCGTAGATTGCTTTCTGGGCGTGAATCTGGGCATTGAGTTTTACATGGAACTCAAATCCAGGCAGTGAAACTCTGGATCCTATGCTCTTCAGGGCTAGAGTCTACTGTCCCATTGATCAACAAACAGTATAGGAATTCACAATGGCGTGTGTATAGGAACCAAGAATCATGTTTATTAGTGATGGGAAAAATAAAACTGACAGCATGCTTTTAAAAGCCCTCATGTTTAGACAGATTGAAGAATTATAGCAAGACCCAAGGCCACGTTTTGTTTTATACCCTGCCTCACTGTGTTTGGTTCCCTTACTGGTTATAAAGGAATTTAATGAGATTTCATGGCAGTGGGAGAGAAGGTCTAATACCCTCACTGAATAAGATGATGGATCCAGGGTCAAGGTGAGGAAAACTCTCTTCCTCTAAGACCCCTGCCTTAG